ATTATTTCGCAATGCATACATAAACATCAAAACATCACCTTGTATGCCTTAAATATATATAATTTTAATTTGCCAATTTTATCTGAAAAAATCTGGGGGGAAATTAAAAATAAAAGTATTTCACATTTTAAAAGTAATAAATAAGCAAAGGGAGAAAAATTTAGAAGACCTGGTAAAGATGAAAGGAATACAATTCAAAGGCTTAACTATAAAAAGTGGAAGAGATCCTTCCAACTTCAGTGTCTTGAATACATGAATGAAAGGATGTCCGAATTAATACAAAGCAGTTTTTAACACCAGCTATGGAAGGTTTTGGGTGTGAATGAAAGGGGAATAAGGGGTGCAAATATTGTTCACATCATGTATATATAGTTTCCACTAAAGGATGTTATAATGCAGTAATTAATCATTCAATTGAAAGTAAGTTACTGCCTGGCAGCCTGATCATTTATCCAGAAATCTACATTGCTGATCAGGGAATTCAATATTTGAATTGATTACAATTCAATAATTTTACACATGGCATCCAACAGGGGGAGCTACAATCGGTCATTTTATTATGTTGTAAGCTACAATGAATTGACCGTAGGTAATTGGGTGACTTCTCTGAGCCAAGTTAAGGTGACTATTAACCAGAAATATTAAAAAGGGAAAGGTAAGAACTTAAAGGCTGTGCAGTCCCCTTGACCCTCCTTCTGTTCTCATGTTCTTTAATATTCCTTAGAAGTTGAGCTTCTCTAATGAGAATGGATAGATGATGAGAAAAGTATATAAAAGAGGTTATTGACTAAGTAAAGGTAAGTTTTTATTTGATAAAGCCAAAGTTACATTTTGTACTTAGTATCATGTTAGTCTGCACATACTTATTAAGGATAGACTAAGTTTTCTCACAGGTATTGAGAATAATAATCACATATACTTAATCAAATAAGGACGTTGTGAGGATTGAATCACCGAATTCATGTAAAACAAGCAGAACAGTGTCTGGGATATGCTAAACGGGTAGTAAATAGCAGTTAATAAGAGTTCTATAATATAGACTATAATATGGAACTATAATATAGTTCTATAATATAGTTATATTATCCTGTAATACATATAGGCTGTTTTGCTTGCAAAGTGTGTGTGTGTGTGTGTGTGTGTGTGTATGTGTGTGAGACAGAGAGAGAGAGAGAGAGAAATCTCATGTTTGTGAGAAAGAATTAGTGATAATTATACAAATTTAAAAGTTGGAAAGATTTACGTTGGCAGGAATGATCTGTAAAGTATTTACAAAGGAGGCCTGGCACGGTGGATCACGCCTGTAATCTCAGCACTTTGGGAGTCCATGGCGAGCAGATCACCAGGCCAGGAGTTCGAGACCAGCCTGGCCAACATGGCAAAACCCCATCTCTACAAAGAGTACAAAAATTAGCCAGGCATGGGTGGCTCTCAGCTACTCAGTAGGCTGAGGCAGGAGAATCGCTTGAACCTGGGAGGTGGAGGTTGCAGTGAGCCAAGATCATGCCATTGCACTCCAGCCTGGGCGACAAGAGCAAGACTCTGACTTTAAATAAATAAATAAAAAGTATTCAGAAAGGAGCTAATTCGCTGAGGTCTGAATGTTAGATAAAGCTTTTAAATTATTTTAAATGAAAAGGAGGTGGATAAGTGGGGATATAATGTGGGGAAAAGATGGATATGGTGTAATTGGAAATCTTAACAGGTAACCCAAAGAGTAGGAGAGAATCTTTACTGGGAAGTAGAGAAGGGCCAGACACGTGTTAGAACAATTCTCTGTAGGCAAAGGGAAGTCATCTACTTTTTTGAGAAAGAAAGTCATGTGATGAAATTAATTTCATGAGTATTATTCCAAATGCATTATTCAGGCAAAATAGAAGACCATAAGGATAGAAGTCAATGATGGCAGTAGGAAATTCACCAAAGGAGAGCAAAAAAGCCCAAACTTTAATAACTGCCATGATAACAGAAAGGAAAAATGGAGAGAATTATATAATTTTAGAAGATAAAGGGAGAAAAGCATTATAACAGGTTTTCCCACTTTCCAATCTATGCTGCAAATTAATCTCAGCCCTTTCTTCTTGAAACACATTACTGGATCACCACACCTTTGGAACAATACAACTACTTCCCCCACTAATTTCAACATGTGAATATGAGTTTGCCTGTTAGAAGCCTTCTCTGGGAAGCTCTGTGTAGTCATTTTCTCTACCTTTACATCTTTTGCCATAGCCTAAAATCTCTTCATTTCCAAAGCCTCTTCCGTCTTTCAAAATTAATTTCAAATGTTAATTTTTTGGTAAGGTGAATGAACTACGTTTGGTCTTCTCTGTACATTACTTAGAGAACTTAGTAAACACTTACATGGGTTATGTGCCTGTCTTACCAAGCTTACAAGATAGGATATATTTGAGAGCAGAAACCAATTTTATGTTGCTTCCATAATGTTTTGCCCATAATGATGCTCAATAAATACTTTCGGAATGGATGATTTAAAAGTATCTTGTTCATTGGCACAACTTTATTATTGCAATGTTCTTGAGACTTTTTGTCTCCAAGACAGAGAAACTCAGAATTCTCCTTCTAGAGTAGGAGAGACAAAGAAGAAAAGCAACACAGCAAGTAAATCTGGGAAATCACGCAGGATTCCCAGTTCTTCCGATTATCCCTGGGCTCTTACATCAGAAGAGAAGCCTGAAGTCTGTAGTTTATAGGATCCTGCTAATGAGTTACCTGGTATTATGCCCAAATAAGCACTTCTCTTTTAGTGACACGGCCAGGATGAAATAATATTAGTTTAACCTATTTTATATGAAGGACAACTTATATTCAGGGCACTTTACTTTCTGAAGATCTGTTGATTTTTTGCAGTTTTACCTTCAAACAAACACACACAGACACACACAGACACACACAGACACACACACACACACACACACACACACACACACACACACACAGAGGAAACTCATGGTGGTGCTCTAAAGAAATTAAACCCAAGGTCATACTTTCCAGAATAGGTTAAGGGTCCCAAAGTGAGAAAATAGATTACTCTTATATAACATTTTACAGTTTAACTTTCAATGACATCTCAAATACTATTAATATTTCCATTGGCTCATAAAATGATACTGGTAGTGACTGGGGAGCAGAAAAATTATGCAAATTACTCAGATTCATATGCTTATTGGTTATGAAATGATAGTATCAATGAATCTCTATGTAATGCCACATGGGATAGAGACAAAATCTGTTTGGGGTGTCGAGAAGCCTTTGTTCAAATGTTTTTCTTAATATCTATTACTGTAACTTTCCAAAGTTCAAGTTTTCTCATATGAGTACTTGAAATAGTAAGATCTACTGTATAGAATTGAGAGGACAAAGTGGATTGCGCATGTGGGCACCCATAACGTTTTTCACAGAGTAGGCACTCCATGAATGCCAGTTTCCTTTCATTCCACATCCCTTCTCTTCATGGAAAACTATCCATGTTTAGAGCATGTAGCATACACACCTATCCACACACAAACGTATTGATGTACTAATGATACGTGTGTTGAGCTCTTGTTTATGTTAGAGAAGAACAGACATAAAGAACATCAACATACAATTTGGTAAGCATTCAGCTAAATATGGCTGTACCTATTACTAACACCATTCAGCTGACGCATTCAGGATTTCACAAGAAGACTCTAGCAGCTGTATACACAGAGTATTAGGTGATATTCAAAGTATAAAGTATTTGGTTATACAAAGAGTGTTAGGTGATGAGGGCCTGGGGATGGGGGTTAGGGTCACTGGGGGGTTTCTCAAATCTATCAGGTGCAAATGGTCTGATCTAAAATACTGAGATAAATTCAACACATTAGTACCGGAGCTCAGAGACTATATCATTTTATCTTTATACTTCTACCCCTGGTAGTAAAATAGTCCAGTGTCGCCTCATGGAGAAACCAACCTTCTATTTCAGAGATTTTTACTCCTCCCAGAGAGGGAGACTTGATAAGCATGAGCACGCCACTCGAACACCAAAATACAAGAAAGTGTTATGATTTAAATTGACTATTTAGCCAAAAGGAATTGTAACTTAGAGCCAGCAGATAATTTAAAATCCCATTAAAATAGCTACTGGAGCCACTGGGTATGTCGGTATGTGAATAATGTAGAAGGACAGTTGAAACTAACTATAATCATACATTTTTAAAACAAATTTAACCAGAAATACATATTCTCAAATGGCCTTTAAAGTATTCAAACCTAGGAAAACTATACTTCATCCTGGTGATATTCCCTATGTAAAGCAGTTTAGAAGTTCCTTTTTGGGAATTGACATCAAGACCAATATAGGAAGCAAAATAAATTCATGTCATAATCAATGTATCTTTTTAACCGAGAACAATATTTTTTAAGTTGGAATATGAGTTGCCATGCAATACATAGACTTGCAAAAATCATGAAAAATATCAAGTTGTCCGACTTTCTTTAAGGGGTCTATTTGCTTTTGTTCGCAGTAGGATACATAATTTTAAATAAGTCCAGCTTCGTTATCTGTATTCATGAATATCTTAAACATAAGCCAAGTTTTCAGCTGGACTCAGATATTTATTAATTGAAGTGAGTAAAATGAGCACACGTTTTTGAATAAAGATATTTTGGTAGAAAGTCAAGTCTGACTAGAGTTCTGAAACAAAGCAAACCACAACTTTGAAAAATAAATTATAATTAAGCAAAACACATTGAAGCTGTCCATATTTCTGCCATATAGTTCACAAGGATTTTCAGTTTCTCTTACATTTGCTTCCGAGTTACTTTCAGCAACTTCCAAGAATAGAATTTCCCTTCAAAAAGAGATAAGTTGTCACCGTTTCAAAGAAGTTGCTACAAATTTCAAAGACAATTCTAAGAGAGGAATCTTAAGAATGTTTGTGCCATGGTGGTTCTAATTAGAATAAGTACATAGCTTTTAAAATGTGTCTGTTTTTTTTGGATAATTTAAGGACAGATACTAGTAAAATGCAGTCGCATTTGTTTATAGATATACTTAATCAATGGTTGGCATTGCAGGGAGCATTCTGGTTTTATGGGAGGTGGGAGCGTCACTTCCTTGGTTGTAATAAAGAGCTCTGATGTAGCCTTGTACAGCAAGAGGAGGAGTCTGTATGCAGAAGCACCATCTTCTGGGGGTATATAAAGGGTCAAGTCAACGAAGGGCAGAACAAGCTCCAGACAATCGCTTCTTTCCGTCAACCGCAGCCTGCTCTCACAACCTCACTATGTCTTGCCCTAACTACTGCTCTGGAAACTCCAGCTCAGGAGCTCTCAGAACCTCCTGCCACATTCCTCTCACCTCCGTTGCCCTCTGCCCTACCAACGTGAGCTGTGGAGACGTCCTCTGCTTACCCACTAGCTGTCAAGACCATACCTGGCTCACAGACAACTGCCCAGAGACCTGCGGTGAACCAGCCAGCTGCCAGCCAGCCCACTGTGAGACCGGCAACCTTGAAACCTCTTGCTGTTCTTCCACTGCTTACTATGTGCCCAGATCCTGCCAAGGAACCCGTTTTCTTCCTGCTGCTTCTTTCATCTCCAGCTCCTGCCTTCCAGTGTCCTGTAGACCGCAGAGCTATGTGTCCAGTAGCTGTCGTCCACTGAGGCCACTGATCAATAGTTGCCGGCCCATAGGAAGCTGTGTGCCTGGTGGCTATCGTCCCCAGTCCTCCTTTTCCAATAGCTGCCAGCCCCCAAGCCTCCTCACTTCTGGATACCGACCCTCCGGTTGCTTGGCCTATGGTCCTCAAACCCTTCACGTTGTGTCCAGCAGCCTCAGACCTCTGGGGCCTCTGTTCAGTGGTTGCCAACCTCTGAGCCATGTCTTCAGCACTTGTCGTCCATCTTGCTCTGCACTGTGAAACCAGTAGCTTCTTTGTTCCAGTGTATAATCACTCTGAGGACCCAAAACAAAAATTCAAACTCCGGGACTTTTGCTTTTTCGCTAGTAGTAACTGATGTTTCTTACTTTTACTGTGTGTGATCTAATGCAACCTGCTTCTGTTACATGTTTTATCTTGTTTTCATCTTTCCTTGACACCAAAAAAATTGGCTTACAGTGCTATTCAGTGTTGCTCTGATGTGGGAAGAATGTATTTGATTTATGCTGTAATAAATGCGATTAAGTCCGAACTAAGAATCTTGTTCAGTGGTTTGTCTTTCATGACTTAATTTTAACACAGAAATGACCAAAGTCAATTGCTTGCAAGATGAGTGAATTGGACAAATGATACTCAACCATATATTTGTACCTGACAGTGGAGGGATTGTTTGATGGTTTATTCCTTAAGCTGCTTTTAGACTTCTGACCCTATGTACTTGAGAGACCCAAAAAGTCCTTGGTGAAAGTTGCTTTGAAGAGGAAAAATTAGGAATGATGCCTCTTATTTTTCTATTCCACTGAACACACTTTCACCAGAATGTTCTTTCTAATTGCAAACCTAACCAGGTTTCTGCTTAAGCCTTTGCTGGCTTCCTGTAATCTATCTCCATAAGATAAAAATTCAAATGCCTTAGCAGGATGCCTGGTTTCCCTCACTGTCTTCCTCTCTCCTCCCTCTCTGGCTTCATCCTATTTTGATCACTACTGCAAATAATAAAACTAAGATCCTGCAAGCCTGACTTACACAAAGGTCGCCAAACGTATGTTTTTTATAATCATCTACCCTTTTGCATGTGTCATAATCGAGAGCAGTATGTTCTTCAGCTCTGCTTTGAAAACTCATACTTGCTTTTAAAAAACACAGTCCGAGTTCATTAATTAATCTTTTGATGTATTCAGAAACAAATGTACTGCTTGCATACTATGGGCCGGGAGCAAAAGATACTGAGGTGAAAAATACAGTCCTGAACTATTGCAGAATTTACCAGAAGTTATATGCTATGGGACATGTAACAATTAAAGATGCATTTTTCTCTCACTCGACCTAAAATGTGTGGGCGTGTATATTCCACAAATTAAAAGGAAACAAAGCTGTGGCCAGGCGCAGTGGCTCACACCTGTCACCTCAGAACTTTGGGAGGCCAAGGCAGGATCAGGAGATCGAGACCATCCTGGCCAACATGGTGAAAACCTGTGTCTACTAAAAACACAAAAATTAGCTGGGCGTGGTGGCAGGTACCTGTAGTCCCAGCTACTCAGGAGGCTGAGGCAGGAGAATCATTTGAACCCAGGAGGTAGAGGTTGCAGTGAGCCGAGATTGCACCACTGCACTCCAGCCTGGAGACGGAGAGAGACTCCACCACAAAAAAAAAAAAAAAAAAAAAAAAAGTTGTATAGACATGAATATTTACCTTTTTGAGGAACTGGAATAGCTAGAAAAGCTAGAAACTATATCACTGTACAAGAAAGACAGTGATTGCTGGGAGCCCACTCACACCTCTTCTCTTTAGACAAGGAATACACCTCTGTTTCTTATTTCCGTCTTGCCCTAGAGACTTCCTAACAATGAAGCAGAATGGCAGTTCCGCTTACTATCATGATCATGCTGCTGTTTTTAAATTGATCCTGGTTCACTGTTTTTCCTTATTTATTTGCTCTCCTGGATATTCTGAATTCGTGACATCTATATCCCTTATTTTTTGAAGACTTACCCGGGCTGTCTCTGTGCTCCTCGCCCTAATCACACTTTGGCTCCGGCTGCCTCTCAACTCAGCCATATGTCTATTGTTAATCTTGTTGAACTATTATTTATAGCATCATTTTAAATGAGGTTTGAGTAAATGTAACATACGTAACTGATTTTTGCATGTTCTTGAAGTGTAAAACGAAATTATAAAGTATCTACCCATTGGTCTCTGTCTTGTTTTACTAAATATGATGTTTCTGAGATTTTTTCCATATTGTTATATGCCCAATTAGTCTTTTTGTTTTTTGTGTGCATAATATTCAAGGTTAAAACACCAAAATTTATGTATACATTATTTTGTTGATGAGCCTTTGGGTTGTTTCTAGCTTGGATCTATTAGAATTAATGTACAGAATATTCTTGTATTCTTGCACTATATGTTAATACACATCTGGAGATATTTCTGTTCTTCAATATGTTTAAGGGTGGAATTAAGTTATGTAGGATGTGTTTGTTTAGCCTTGTTTTATACCATTACAAAGTTTCGCCATGCAGTTATGCTAATACTGACTTCTACTAACAGAGTATGAGAATTCCAGTTGTTCTACACTCTCACCAACACTTGAAGTTGTCAGCCTATTTACATTTAGCATTTCTACTGAGAATGTAATTCTAAGAAAAGTTTGTTTTATTTTTAATATTCGTGATGGCCCATTGAATTGAGCACTTTTTTAAGAAAATGTTTCTTGTGTCTTGACCATTTAGATTTTTTTGTATGTGAAGTAAAATTCAGGTCATTTGTCACTATTTTTAGTAGGTTTGTCTGTCTTTAGTATTGGAATAGTTCTTTACATGGTTTAGATGCTGTTTGTTTTTTATATATATTTACCGTAACTTCTTTCATATCATTCCCTGTTTTTTTACGCCCTTAATGGTGTATTTAGATTAACAGAAATGAATCTAATTTATTGATCTTCTGTTTATAGTTAGTACTTTTCTCATCCTTTTAAAGAAATCTTTGTCTACCCAATATTAATAAAAATATTAACTTTAGAAACTTTTTTGTTTGATTTTCAACATTTAAATATGCCATCAATGAAAAATGGTGTGTGTTTGTGTGTGTGTGTGTGTGTGTGTGTGTGTGATGTGAGTTGGGGTCAAAATTCTAGTTGAATCAGCATCATCTCCTAAAACACCCTTCTTTTTCTACTACTCTCCAGTTCTGTATCCCTTTGTTCATAAATACATTATCTTTAAATGGATGGGTCTATTTCTAGACTCTATTCTGTTCTGTTGAGTAATGTCTATCCTTATAACACTAAAGTGTTTTATTTTTCTTGTTTTATATTTATTTAAAAACTCTCCCCAAGACTTTGAGGTTTTTGAAAGCTGCTTTTGTGGGAGTACCATAACTAGGCTCTCTGTAAATGTTTATTGATTTAAATCACAGTAGATTGCATTTTGATTGGATGGTGATGAGAAATTTCACATTTTTTTCCTTTAAAGTTTTATTCAATGCTATCTTTCCTGAGTCTGAAGGAAATGAATGTTTGCTTCTCATTTTCCCACAGCTTACAAGTCCAAGAGCTAGGAATTAAGGAAAGTTCTGTATCCAGTATCCCATGACTAGACAAGACCTGCTAATAGCTATACATTAGTCCACATCTGATAATTATCTGTTGCTAGCAATGTCTGATTTATTATTTTATTAATTTAATTTTCTGAATATCTAGCACAGTAGCTGTAGTTGTTCCTAATTTAGCCACAATCATAGAGATTATAAATTATTTGTCTGAGATTTATTTCTAAGTTTTCTCAAAGTCCTTGTTTCTCCAGTAAACTACAAGTATAATAATTCGAACAATTTATGGGACAGTTTACTATCTGACATGTTTTGCCTTCCAGTTTTATAGGTTTTATTTCTATGATTAAAATAAGTAGAAGGTAGAACTCTAGGCTTTTATTTTCACACAAAAAATTAAATATTCTTTATTAATATTCAAGTACCATTAAGTTCCTTGTGATTAACCTTCTGGATGTAGTCATTTTCAAACTGAATTTTATAAAAGCTGACTTCCCTTTGTCAAGCTATAAGCTCAAACAATACACTGCCCTTTTCAAATGAACTTTAATCAAGAAAGCATGTCTCTATCAAAACCAATTATGAAGCATTACTATTTTTTCTTAATTTCAAGATCAGATTCCACATACAAAATACATAAGAAAGATACACAGAATCGTATTCTTCCTTATCTTGATTGAAATGGGTTGTGGAAAAAGCAAACACATATGCCTGAATAATTATCAGAGTCTTTAAATCATTCATACATAAGAAAATTAAAATGGAGTTAATCTAACATATTATATAGATATTTTGAAGGTAGAATTTGGATTCTGAGTCTTCTCTTTAAACTTAACTCTGAATAATCACTTGCCAGTATAAATACAAATTTCATTCTCCACTGAAACTGTATTTTTGCTTAGAGAATTTTTCCAGAAATTAATGAAAGTGATGCCACTAGAGATGATGACTCAGGAATGTATGGATTTCTGGTTTCAATTCCAACATGTAAGGAGCTTAAGAATCACCACTCCTGTCTTACAACAAGAAAACAATAGGCAGCTTGAAAATCAATGACTTTTCCTGAACCCATCAAAGATTTGAGTCTGCAGGGCAAAACTCCCCTCCAAAATTTGGGGAGGCAGGTAAGTCTAGAGTGACATCTGGGGGCTGCTGAAGCCATAATCTGGTAGGAACACTTAAATCATAAAATTTGAAGAATTTCTGAAGGCTGTTTACTAGCATGTGTATAAAACACTCTTAGATGCCACAGTCTTAAGAATGCCTCATACCTCTATACTTCATGGGTTTTGCCTCTAGAAATTCTATAGGTTTCTTATGGAAGAAATCCAAGGAAGATGCTCCAATAGCTTTGTCAAGAGAAAGGGAGGAATAATCCTAGAATATCATGTTCAGAGCCTCCTCCATAATAAACACTTACTCTTCATGAAAAAAAAAGATTTTACCAGGACCTTACTCAACCCAAGGAAAAGATATTTTTCCCTCTCCACACCCCCACCCCAAATACCTTTTCGGGCTCACCTAAGGAGGGAGGACTGAGAAATACTAATGAAGGTCACAGCTCAGAGACACAGATGCAATAAAAGACTGAGGTTTAATTATAAGATTATGAAATGCTTCCCCTGTCTTCCACCTTTCCCCCATGCTGGCAAGGCTCCAGTGTAATAACAGTGGGTTACAGTTGAAAGGGCTCCATGAAGCAGATTGTCTCTGAGGAGGAGTACTTAG